AATTTGAAATACTAAAAATTGTTAGCACGATGTATAAGAAGGTACAGAATTCTTATTCAGTTGATGCTAATTCAGAATCAGCAGGGATGGCTATAAATAAATAAATAGGATAGTTACAACCTGTCATTTTGTGCCTCTGCCTGTTCTGTTTGTCTCTCTTGACTTGAATACTGATTGAAGGCAATCAATACTATCGGCATAAGTGATCTCTGATAAGGGAAAATACGAAAAGAGATAGCGTTATATAATCATCTGTGGAGTCCCATGCGCAATATATTGTGTGAGTCAGTATGATCAAATTTATTTATTTGATTGATTGATTAATTGATTTAAGTTTGAGTCCAGAGTGACTTTGGCTGTCTTAAACAACCAATAAATAGAAAAAATAAACCAACTGTTGTTGTTTTTTAATGATCCAATGGTGATGTAACAAAGGACATCTGGAGGATGTTCTGATCCAGGAACAGGACAATTGATGCCTAAATTGAAACTTTGCAAAGGACCTCATGGCCACATATACCATCTGCTCTATGAGCAAAAGTTGTGGATACAGAATCACTTCCTTTTTGCATAACAATTTTAAATGAATCAGTAATAAGCTTTTGCAGTGAATGTCTGTCTGAGACTAAAAATGTAAGGTTGCTAGATCTAGAGGACTCTAATATCCAGAGACATGATTGAGCCTCCTCATCCAAATTTACTCAGCATCCAGACCAGTGGTGGGTTTCAAAAATTGTTTGAACCTACTCTGTGGGTGTGGCCTCCTTTGTGGGAGTGGCTTGCCACCCATNGGCTAGAAAGGGGCAGGGAGTAGCTCAGTGGCTAGGGTCTATTCGTGGTTCACAGCCTTTTTCTTTTTTTTGGCTGTGGACGGAGATTAGATCCAAAACAGCTTTTTTAAAAGCTGTCTTGTCTTTTCCATTTTCTATTAGACTTCAGCAATGTGATTTAGGATGCATTTGTTGGGGTATCTAGATATCTATTAATTTATTCTGATTCTATGTCATGGATACTTTTTTACAATTCAGTAAAATTGTAAAATTCTAATTGTTATTACTGCAGCTGAAATAAAAAAAGATTCCTGTGCAAGAAATGCTTGTTTCTTTATCTTATTCTTAGGATATTTTGAAATTGCTTTTGGAGGTTTGGTGTTTTTAATACTTTGTAGAAAAATAGAAAGTAAGGGAACTTATAGAAATTTGGATACAATGAGAAACAGGACACAGATGCCTTTTGGCTTTGTCCTAAGTAAGATAAATGAAAGTTACTTCACCCCAGCTATGAGAATTATACTATTTACCATGATCTAAATAAAAAAGAACATTTTTCAGAACCCCATAAGCTAAGTCATGAAAAGCAAGATTGAGAGTTCTTGCTTTAAATATGACAGCAAAGTTTGTAAATTTCTCATCAGATGAAAAGGATGAAAAATAATTTATATTATTTCTGTCAGTTAAAAATTTGTGGGAGGATGAATCCAGATTTCATTATACTTAAAGTAGACCCTATGAATTAAACGTCACTTAAATTTATCATGGGCTCTATTCTATATATGACAAGTCTGAATCCAGCCTGTGCTAAATATTCTTTCGTTCTCCTGTGGTTATCATGTTGTTTACCTATTATTAGGAATTCTAGGAAGAAATATTCATAATACACAGTCCCAAAATAAAATAAAAAGTGACTGAACTTTTAAAATATGTAATGCAGTTGCCCAGTCTCTGGAAATATACTGGAAAGAAAAAAGAGGAAAGTATATTTTAAACAACTGCCAAAGTTACTAAATGACAACACAATTCCTTTGTTTTAGTCAGTGTTTGAGGCAATCAACAGTTTCCCAAGGCTGATTTTTTCTATTTAAAGAAAAGTTGTCAAAGAATAATGATAAAGATGGAATTCTTTACTGAACCTGTAGGCAAGAAATTTGTTTTTTTGGGTGTGGTGATGAA